ATTGCCCAGAGTGAGGTCGGCCACAGTTTTCACATTTCGGAAGCTGACCCTGGGTAGCAGGTGGAATGTCGCGGCGTTCTGGGGCTGCACGTTTTCCTTTCCTGTTATCCTTGTGGGAATCAATCTTCCTTTTGCCCGAACTAGAGCCGGGCGCAACAGATGAGATGGGCTGGGCGTACTGAGCAACGGTCCGAGAAGGCTGGGAGGCATGATAATATGAAGGGACTAGGCTATCGGAATGAGACAACTCTCTACCTCCTGAGCCCGACTCACGGTATTGCATAAGACATCGATCCGTGACTCCCCACCAGTTCACAGATCCTCTGATTGAGCCCCTTAAGAAACTTGCGGGCCTTCTTGGCATCGGTGTTCACTGCGTCGCCCGCAAAACGGCACATGCGGGTGAAGGTGCGAATATACTCATCCACTGTGGAGCTGCCCTGCTGCAAGTGGTAGAACTCATGCTCCATCCTATCCCAAAAGCTATGGGGAAGGAACTTGCTGCGCACCATCACTTTCATTTGCTCCCAAGTGAGAGCATGAAGCTCCGCCTCTGGCCTCCGAGCCCAGTGGTCAATCCACCAGTCAGAGGCGTCCTCCTTCATCTGATAAGCTGCGAGGGAAACCCGCTGACGGTCCGGGAGGGGGAGTACCGCAAAAATCTTATCCAGCTCTTTCATCCACTCCAGCACCGTTGTGGGGTTCTCAGTCCCCACAAAAGTTGGTGCATTCATTCTCTGAAACTGGACGATAAGCTGAGTAAGATCCATGGCAGGAGGGGCCTGGTGCTGACGGGGCGGAGAAGGTTGCGGGGATGCCTGACGGTTACGGTTGTTGCGAGCATTCATACTTCTACATTGAATAAGTCGAACAAGGTTTAGCACAAAAACAAACAAAATAATCAATACTTATAGAGGTCTAGAGTTCGCCAATAAACACTAGAGTTCGATTAAATCAAGGTGGATAGGTCCTAAGCCCCGAATTATAGCACATAAATAATAAACAATCATTTCATAAATAATATCAGTATTACTTATGACTTACATACCTTAAGCGGCGCGGCATGACGAAGACGAGTGGTCGATGCTTATACTTAAATATTCATAAATTCACATAAACCACGTTAACCAGTCTACAGAAACGCAGACTGGCTCTGATACCAAACTGTAACGCCCCACTTTTATTTGACGAAAGTCAAGGATTTTTCAAAAAGTCAACTTAAAATTTTCAAAATTCATTTCATAAATCGGTGGCGCTACTCAACTAAATCACATAATAACATTAATCATACTTTCATAATTCATAAATCACAAATCCGAAGTTTCCATAAATCTCAAGTTCGTCCAAAGTATTCATTAAGGAACTCTCAATCCAAAGTTCTCCAAATCCCAAAGTCATAAATGCATAAATATAACCAATGTTCGTAAATAACGACAATATTCCAAGTTTCATAAATATAAGCGGAAGCTACTATATAAGGTCAGGTCAACAACCGACCACCACTCGTCTTTGCCTCGTCATCCGACACCCGCTTAACCTGCATCCATGAAGAGCAGGTGGGAGTGAGCACAGTGAACTGTAGTGCTCACTACTATGCATATGAACAATAATAAAGTACGAAAAATTAAATGGCATGGTCGCAGTATGAACATAGTCAATAAATATCCCATCTCCTAACCAAAGTAATTCTCATGTGCACACCTATAACAATAGACTGCTGCTCGTATGCCTTTCGGCGAACATAAATGGGGTGCCCAAACAGCAGGAGGCTCAACCGTCACAGCACGCACCTAGTGCTTGGACAGGATATCCATCACCGGCCAGGGCACATTGCCAAGGTCTTACAGATGACGTGGTCCTTAGCAAAGGACAAACATGGAGATTACCCTTGTGGGGTACGTTCTATAGCTACGGGGATAACCGTTCGACGGCCGACACAGCTCACATCGAAGATTACACGCTCACATGCATACGTTGATCATATCCACATAAATAAAGCAATTATCATTCAAGGCATAGACAAATTTTGAATAACCCACCTGAAAATTGCGGTAGAATATTGCACACAAAAGCAAGTACGTAGGTCGAGGGCTTGACTCCTCAAACACCTACATTTAAGCGAGATAATACATCAATAATCTATCTCACTACTCGGAATAACATTGAAAATCATACTTAATCGAAAATCAACGATTAAGAGATTTTATAGAATTTTTCGTGGACTTGGAACTCTCTAATTTTTGAAAAAAAATAGGACTTGGAGAACTAAATGGAGTCTCGGGACTTAAAATAATTTTTGCAAATTTTTCTCATTTGAAAAATAATTTTAGAATCGAAATCGGTATTAAAAACGGGCTTCTGAAACTCAAACTAGGCCTAAAAAAAACGAATTGGGTTGTTATGCTCAGAATGGGCCAAAGATGCCCAAGCATTTGGGCCCAACATGCTATAATTGGGCCGCACCAAAGGGCTGCAGATCCGCGGGTTGGGACTGGGCCAGACGCGGGCTCGCGGGCCGAATGCTGCAGCAAGATCGGGCAGCGCGCGGGCTGACCTCGGGCCTAGCGGCCCGCGCGCTGATCAGGCTTCCTCCATAAGAAGAAAAAAAAAAAGCTACCACACGCAAGGGCTGGGTTCGAACCCACGACCTCACACACGAGAATGGTTATAAAGACCACTTCAACACACGCCATTATGCAACATTTAATGAAAACTTTTTATCTAAATTTCTAACAGAGCCTGCGAATTTTAAAATAAAAGAACAGAGGACGAAATTGCGAGCAGAGTGACAGCAACTCCAAACAGATACTCATACAAAACACAGTCTGAACAACATTTGACCAAATTCGACGGCTCCATATTAAACGACAACTGGGATTGAGAGGTTACCAACAATAACATATTTTCAAAGTTCTGAAATATATTTTTAACAACCGTTTTGGCTCGAAAATGGAACAACCAAATATATATACAAAAAAAAATGAACAACGGGATTCGAATGACCCGAACAACCTAACGACGACTCGAAACAACAAAACGAGACTCCGAACTTATACATATTTCTCACAGTAACATAACGGTATTCACGTTTATGAAATCGAGAGTTCCAATCACTTCCGAAAATCCACGAATAAACAAAATATACACACAACAATTAAATGAACTAAAAGAAATTCGACTTCAAATCAACTTTCGGTGGACCGAACACATTACATATATAATATGCGATATATGAAAACGACCACAATAAAGAGAGGATTCGAATAAGTTACCCGACTTTGGGAAACTACAAGTTATCGGAAGGGAAACGGGCCCGACAGCGGGTCGGACGATCGGCTTCGGGACTTGGAATCTTCCAACACAGTTCTGAGGGTTGCTGGACGAAATTGATGATGGCGGGTGAGGCTCTGTTGCTGATCGCCGGACGAAGGTGCCGTTCGGAGGTTGCCGCCGCTGGCAGTCGTCGCCGGAATTTGCAGGTCGCG